ATGATTTTATACACAAAAATATGCTTTTTATACTTATAGATATATAATATCAAGATATTTTTTTTATATCATTAGTATCTAGTTTATAATTCAGAATTTTTAAATATACATAATATGGCTTTTATATCATATATAATTAATAGCATTATTTATTAGATTAAGTAATATTGACCTGGATTACTAACGACAAGAAACACCGCATTTGGACTGTAGTTTACTAAAGGTGGTATTATGCTCTTTAATATTTCTATATTTCTTTGTACTAAGTCAAGTCGAGTTTCACCCTTTATTTGTCGTACACCCGCACAAATAGCTACAACTTTTGAATTGCTTGTCACGCAAAAGTCTACAAAAAAAAGTGTTTTTGCATTTTAAGTTTGAGGAAAAGAAATAATTGCTAATAAATGAAGAAACTAATTGATTTATACATATTCTTGTAAAATATAAAATTATGATTGCAGTCATCATATTTAATATATGCGCAATTAATCCCATTTATATGAGCAAAATCTACAAAACATAACTAATACATATTCATCATACATATACAGTGAATCACTTACCTGTGTCGTACTCGATCTTTGGATCTCCTATAAATACGGAACTATGACTAAAGTCCATTCCTTCACCTTCCAATTTTTTAGGGAAAACATCTACCATTGCGATATGTGAAGTAACTCGCTAATAAAGTAATAAAAAAAGCTGAACAAATACTAACTATGAAATTAAATATTTTTATTCTCTATTTAAAATATATATAAAATATACAAAAATATTATATACGTATAATAAACAATACATATTATATATATAATAAAAATAAAAACATTAAAATAACTTTATATTTATAATTTAATTTAAATTAAAACTAAATTTAAATTAAATTAAAATTAAAACTTTATATTTATATTTTATAATTTTATATTTATATTGTATAAAACTAAAGTTTTATATTTACATACTTTTTTGACTCTACATAATATATAAACTTTTATTTTAATTTGAAACAAGAATTCAATAAATAATTATAATTTAAATTTAGAATTAAAATTACAAAAGAAAGGATTTACTGGAACTCATTACTTGGAAAAGAAGCGAATTAGCAAGAGCAACGCCGACCATACCAGCCCCGACAACAGTGACTTTATGACAACAATCTCTTACTGGCTCTGATGTTTTGCATAAGAGTTCTTCTCGTAAGCATGGTGAACTACAATTACAGTAATTTGTTTTTTTTCTTCAATATTCTAACAAAATGTAACATTATAATTTTTTATTTCTATTTATTATTTCTAAACTACATTTAAAATCGTTAATAATTTCGAAAAAACTGATTATATCAATTTGTTCGAAAAAAGATTCTCTTAATAATAATTTTAGAAATATGAATTTTATACGAATAATTTTATCTCTAAAATTTTAACTAATTTATAAAATACTTCACACACATTGTAAACGTATAATATAAAAAATTAATCTTATAAAATAATATTATAAAATATAAATATATAAATTAAATTTAAACTTTAAATATATAAATATGTAAAGTATAATGAGTTTTGTTGCCACATGTAAATATTGAGAATTAAAATTATTTAAATTTGTCATTCTCTAACTAGTCGTGACTAAGAATATCTAAGAAACTTCAGTAAATAAATTAAATATTAAAGAAAAAAATAAAGTAAATTAGATCTAATTAATAAAAAAATTAATTGTTATAATAAATGCAAATTAAATTAGTTTCTATCTATGATTCTTGATTTAAAATTAAAAGATTGCTATGTACATATAAAACATCAATAAAAATATTCTTACACAAAATTAAGTGTTCTTTGTAAATTTGAACCAGGAGTCGTATCCTTTCCGAAAGTCTTTCCTTTAGTACTTCCAAAGACTTTTGACAAAATTGTCGGTGGTAAGGCATAAGTATATCGGTTTCTTATAAAGTCTCTCGTTAATGTCACACATGAAAAATTCCTTAGACATATCGGTAGCGACGAGTTTGACAGCAGAGATAATAAAATCATTGCTTTTATCACTCATCGATTTTATAAACGTCGCACGATCGTTTTCACCTACTCCCGTCACATTGCATGGAACAGTTTTTTTTCTTGAAAAGAGAGAGTGTGCACTGATAATCGACCGACATAACATTCTTGGCATACCGCCATCATGTCGATTTGCCAATTGTTAAACACATCCATGGTTACTAAACTTATTATAGTAGGCGTTCAAAAAATAATATATACAGAAATATAAGATTCATTGACAATTTAAAAATAGTATTATATATAATAGTATTTAGTATTTGCATACATATTAAAAATGCGGTGTAATAGTTACAATTTAAATTAATTACATAATTTGTTAAAATTATATATTTGTACACATACATATACACATATACAAACTTTCACAATAGAATCATCCATTATCTTGTCATAGAATAAATAATACTATTATCTATTAAAGCACAAAAATTTTATATCACATAAAATTTTTATATAGTCATAAACATACCATTCACATAAATTTTCATCATTTTCTGCATGCATTGACAGTATACTTTATAAAAAGATGATTTGTAAAACCAGAGAGAGTGCTAGACGCAAGAGTGATAAAATGGACAATCGTATCTATATTGTCCGTCTTTATCACTCTTGCGTCTCTTGCGGAAGAGAACTACAAAATCGTACACATTATCTATGCGAATAAAGTTATAGCTAAAACATGGCCAGGACCACCCTCAGGCTTCTCTCTGATAATACATATTTTTTTCGGTATGTATATAATTTGATAATTGGGATATACTTTTCATATTAATTCTCGGAGGTTGTGGTCGGATCGCTCCTCGTGAACATTTACTCTCAGGAAATATATCCGAAATTTTCTTATGTCTCTTTTCAAAATGAATTATCCATCTTGTGTCCGTCATCTCCGATTTTACTCATCTATGTGGAATTTGCTTTTTATTTTGTAACATTTCATAAGCCATAATTCGTAGACACTTTGTTGCGCAAGAGAAAAGTGTATCCCAATTACCAAATTATATACATATAAAAATGTGTATTATAAGACTTCTCTCTAGCAAAACTGAATTGACAAATAACAATTTATTAAATATTTAATAGTATAAATAGTTACAATATCATAGAATAAATATTGAAATGAATAATGCAAAATATATTTGTCGGAGACAAAAATAAAAATTATAGTAATAAAAAATATAATATTAGAGATACTTTACATTAGGTATGTATATATCGTACGTAAACATTTAAAGAATCATTCCAAATTTAGATATAGTACTGTATTCATATAATATATATAAACACATACAAATATATGTATACATGTAGATTATATATGAAATGACACTGATCGTGCACAAATGTCATAAAATAAAAAATAAAATAAGTAAAGACAATGTATATCTAAAATTTGAGGCTATTTTGCACTTCATGCATCATTGCTGAAGATTTATGCAATAATGCAAGCTCATCATTTGTTAACTTTTGTTGAACAATGTGCGTAACGCCATCTTCACCCAGCGTGCAAGGTAAGGATAAAAACACTTCCTCATTAATTCCATGATGTCCCTAAAAATTATTGAATGTTATTTTTACATAACTAAATATTTTGCATGTTACATAGAAATAATTAGTATTAATATATTTAAATAAAAGATGTATATAATAACTATGACATATTAATATTTTTACATGTATAATAAAATTTTATATATATAATTAATATAAAAATAATTTATTTTCTATTGCTTTTTTTGAAAATTTAAAATTTTTGAAAATGAAAATAACTAAAAAATTATATTAAAAGATATATAAAAGTTAATAAGTTTAAAAAAAGAAACAAAAAATAAAATATTAATCAACAAACTTTTCATCAAAACTTTCCTTCAGCATAATATATAAAAATATAAATTACAATAAAAATATAATTATTTTATCAAATTTTTATATAAGACTCTTAATTAATGTAGTAGCAATCTACGTTGTCGACTTACAGTAACCAGTGTAGATACAGCATGGACTTGATTAGAATTTCTTAATATAGCTGATGCAAGTTGTGACACACTGAGACCTATTGCCCATGAAGTATAACCCTTTAACTTGATCACTTCGTATGCGCTTTGTATAACTTGCTTATGCAATTCATTCCAATGCTCCTTGTCTTTGTCGGTGCCCACGTGCTCATTCAAATCACGCAAACGTACCCCGGCGACATTAACTCCAGACCATACAGGCACTAATAAATAAAAAATATTTCATATAATTGTAATACGCAAAAATATTTTTTATGTTTCATGTTTTACATATACATATTTATTTTTCTATAATAATAACTATAAATTACTGTGGGCTAAAGAGCTATTATATATATATATATTTCTTGAAATTTCTTTGACTTATCTGTCGAAAATATGATTATCCATTACATCTTCAATTTATTTAATTCATTAGTAAAATTTCCTATTATAAAAAAAGTTTACGTACCACTGGTATCACCATGTTCTCCGATGATCCATCCATGACAGGATGTAGGTGCTACATTAAGTTTTTGTGATAACAGGAAACGAAACCGAGCAGAATCCAGATTTGTACCGCTGCCAATAACTTTATTTTTCGGCAAGCCAGAAAGTTTCCATGCCACATATGTTAAAATATCCACCGGATTAGAAACGATGAGAAGAATCGTGTTTGGGCTATATTTGACTAACTGAGGTATAATGCCTTTGAAAATATCGGTATTACGTTGAACCAGATCCAATCTAGTTTCGCCTTCGCGTTGACGAGCACCCGCTGTCACGATACAGAGACTTGAGTTTGCAGTCACAGAATAATCTGTGCTAGCATTCACTTTTGCATTTTTCATAAATGCACTGCCATGTTGTAAGTCTAACATTTCTCCTTTTAGTTTGTCTGCCATCACATCGATTAATACGACATCACTTGAAACATGCTGCAATATTAATAATAAATATAACTTTGCACAAGTACATAAATATAATATGATACATATGTTCAATTACGCAGAAATATATATGTATATTCTTATGTTATTTATTATTTATAAACAAATAATTCCAGTAATAAAAATTAGCTAATATGTAATATCGTTTTAGATAAAAATAACCGATTAGTTAACTTACATTTGTCAAAATACTGAAAGCACAGGCCATTCCAACTTGACCGACACCAACTATTGTGATTTTATTTCTACCGATTGATACCGGTTCCGTTACGGTAGTTAAAAGTTGATTCTTTAATGTGGCCATTTTCTAAAAATAAAATAATGCATGGAATTGTTATCAATAAAATTATATTTATGTTATCTTTCAAGTTTTCATTTTTAGTTATAAATCAAAAAACTTAAATTAATATAATAGTAAACATCCTATAAAGCATTAAATATCCTATAAAGCATTAAAGATCATCAACTTTGGACCATCAACCTTGGAGATCAATTTTCATGACTATCAAGTGAAATTCCACAAATCAGAAGGTAATTGAAAGACAGACGGTTTGATTAGAACAAATTTTATATTTCCTGCTTTATATTTAATGTCCATTTAAAAATAATATCTATTTAAAAATCTGTCAATCAATATCTCATTTGAAAGCACGAAATAACATACGCATCGTCAAAACGAGTACACGAATCATATAATAAAGAGCACGTGATATTCCATTAAAAATGTATATTAAATGTTAAATTATTACATAGTTTAAAATATTTCAAACTATAAAGTTAGAAAACATTAAATAAAATGCTTAATTCCTAAGAAAATATAATATATTCAATAATATCGCAAAAAAATTACTGCATAAAACTTCAATATCTGGATAATTAAATTATAATACAATATTAAATTTTGATTAATAAACTCTGATTAATAAACTCTCATTAATAACTTCTGATAATTTCTTTATTATTATAAAAGATGCTTTAAAAATAGGTAAGTATATTTATGATGTTATATATTGCTCCAAAATTTTTTTCATAATTATCTCTCATAGATAATCAATATAGATAACAATAATTAAAAAATGCAATTTGATATAAAAGTCAATAGTAAATAATGATAATGCATATATCTAAAGAACACTAAAAATTAATAATTAGAAATTATAAAATTAATATCATATTAAGACATGCATGTTTATAAAGTTTGATCTTTCTATGCCTACTAATTAAAAAATTTGTTTCTAATAACAATTATATTTCCTTTAAGATCCTTAACGAGTTCGTGATTTTCGTTATATTAATATCAATTGTAATATACATTCGTATCTTTTTTTAAAAAAAATAGTAAACGTCGGCAAATTCCGTTTCGAATCTAGCGGTTATATGTATCTTGCAGTTTCTACTTGTTGCACCTGCAACGAATACAGCGAATAGAGTTTACAGTTCTCAGATGGCAGTATCAATATAATCAGCGCGAACACGTGACACTCTCCTTGAAATATACCGACGTTTTCCTTTAAATTAAATGCAAACGTGTAAATTATAAAAGTAAGAAAACACATGAAGAACACGGAATTTAATTATGCATTCGCAGAAATTCTGATCTGAGTTACACATTAATCATAGATCACCAATAATGCTTGGCGAGCAAGATATAATTATCGAACGACTATAAGAACACAATGATTCGAATAGTATAAGATTATTATTTCAACATACTTTGTATATTAGAAACAGCGATAAATTGCAATACACCGGTAACGGTATAGTACAACGTGCGCGTATTCCATTAATGTACGTTTTATCGCAGATAACGAGTACCAACCGATAGCAAGTAGCTAATCAAGTTGAGGAAATACAGCAAGAAACTTTGATTATAACATTAAAAATATTTTTCTAAATATCAACAAATTAATTAACAATCTTAGATTATTAAATTTGACAAATTTATTAAATTCAATTTTTCATGATGTAATTTGAAATTTATTTCAGAGATTACATATAATAAAACTAACAAAATTATTTTTAAATATATTTTTATTTAAACATTATTACTTCTTTTATTAACACACGGTAATATATTAAATAAAAATGATTCCAACAATCTAATTGAAAAAAGTTTTCACTAACTTCAAATGTTCTAACAAGTATTCTCCTATAGCACTATTCTTCATCACTGTCGAACACAGACTGAACGCGTGCAACTGGCACACTGCTATTCTACTGGACTAACAGTTCAGGGATGTGAAGTCGCCAAGGTGACCTTGTCCCCACTTTCTATAGCCTCTACGAGCCTAACGAGACAAAGACGAAATATGTGAAATTTTTATAATTATTTATATAATTATGTAACGTTCCAAAAATGTCAAAATTAAAAACTAATAGGTTTACGAAATTTTTTAAAAGAGTTTTTGGAAAGTTACGTGGAAATTCTGATTTAAATATCTTTTAAATACGAATGCTTCGAGGCACGTAGCACTTTGCGATTTCGGAGAAAGAAACGTGATGTTGCGCACGCGTAAAATGACGCAACTCGCACGTGATGTTCACCATCGATCCAACTCGAAAAGATTTTCTTCTCGCAAAACTTCAGTCCGCCAATCATGAAGAGAACGAAAGTGGGGCAGAATTATTTCTGGGAGCGATACTCTAGTCGTAACTCTCATATTTTTACGAGAAATTTTTATGGCGATCACAACAAAGTTAAATTTACGATCCTTGAATATAAAAAACACTAACTTCTGTAATATTTTAACAAAGAATGGCTCTAACAAACAAAACTTGAAAAGCTTAATTTCAATAATTAAAAAAATATTTTACAATTACAATTTAATTTCTGGATTGTAATATTAATATATTGATATATATCATTTTTAGATAATATTAATTTTTATTGAATTTTAATAAATAAGACGTTTGCCATAAAAGACGATATTATTCTAAATATTTAATATTAGAAATTAAAATAATCGTATTTCATATATTTTATTCTATTTTTATTAAAATCAATTAAAAAATATTGTGAACACTGTTATGTCAAAAAGAAATTAAAATGTTACACAAAGTAATCATATTTTGTATTTAGTTATTTTTATGAAATCAAATCAAAAAACATTGTGAACACTTTAAAAAAATAACGTAAATTTTATAAGAATTTGTACACAATGTTATCGATATCTACAGATGATTAACGAAGTGAGATTAATGACGAGTAATAACGACATTTGGAATGGATAAAATAAGATTACATTTTGAAGATGTAGATTATATTGCTGATAAATAATGACTGATACATTTGTCAGAATAAATGATAATTTCGTGAGTATTGCGAGTGAAGATGAGTCACCAGTTGCATGTGCTCTGATGCAACCTTTTTCGTATGGCAGCAATGCTGCACAGCGTTACGTGGGACTAATCATCGATTCTTTTCGAAATTCCATATTCAATATACCATATTCAAATGAGACATTCAAATATAGCGCGCTCTTACATTCTCTCCTCTTGTACTCTATACATTTTTCCTTTTTCTCTATTCACGGATATATTCGTTCCCCTTGAAACGATTACAGCTATACTTAGCATACTAAGGCATTTGTTTGTCCAATTTTATTACGTAAATACCAGTACAGCACCGTGTGACTTACTGCCAAATACAGAACGCGTTTAAATAAAATTGTATAAATAAGTTCTCATTATTTGACAAAATTATCGCAACCGATATAAAGAAAATAGTAAAAATTTATAGAAACATTGGAGAATCAAATTGTCAGTAGATCAATTGAAAATATTATATTATAGTTTTATTTGACAACTAAAGCTTTTTAAATGTTAGACCTTAGAAATCACGTCTTAAATCAAGGTTAATATTTCACCTCCAATTCGCGTCCAGTTACTATATATAATGCAATAATGCAAAGGATAATGCAAAGGAAACATATTAATACAAAATACGAGTCAGGTACACAAAAACTTGACGAATTGCGTGTTTCATTCCTTTGCGACTGCTGAAGGTTAAAACAGCGAGTCGTACATTCGTGGCAGTGTCGTTGAGTGATATGACTGCGGCACCTATATGAAGATGGCACACATAATTACAAAGAGCCTGAGAGCCTGAGGAGTCGACGTCGCTAGATTAACATAACTGTATAAATGCATATAACAGAGACAACCGACGGTGTACCGCGACCTTTTTTGCCTTACCTGAACATGTACCTTACGTTTATCACTTCGGCGAAGCAAATAACCTGCTCGTCGCTTCTCTGGGATCTTGTCTCTGCTAAAGAGAAAGAGGCAGTAACACTTCAGAACTTTAGATATTAGTTTTGAATGGCGTAAACGGCATTGTCGTCAATAATACAGCTCTTACATCATTTTAATGAACGTGCAGACATCTGCGATGTTGCGAGTATGACGAATTTAACACCGATAGCATCTCGTAGTTGCTATTTACGTGCGTCTAATCGTGAATCACGAATTGATGCAAAAAGTTATTTTGCAATAGTAATAATAATATACATTTTATTAATATTTTATTATTATTAATTATTTATTATTTTAATAGTTTATTATTTATTAATTTAACTCTTTAAAAATTTTTTTATATAATTATTCCCACAAACTGAGCATATTTATGATAAAATATAAAAAATGGAAATTACTTATTGAGTATAATATATTTTGTTATAATTGTATGATTATTTATACATCTAATATACATGTATATTATCACACGCTGAAATCTTCATCGAAATGAAGTCATCGTTTCGTGAAAGTCAATGCCCGTATTTTTTAGCTATTATCATTTCCTGTTAGCGTAGCATCTTCACACGCACGCACGCACACACGCATCCTCTCGTTTCATGCCTCTTGATAATGCAACATTAATCTGCAACATCGAAGAGCACCGCGTCCTCCAAAATGTGACCACTCAACTAACGAGCGCCATATATAAAACGGTGCGATCACACACGCATACATCCGTATAGTAATTATCCTTTAAAATATGCGGAATGAGACGCATTGCAACGTCCTGCTGCGATTTCCATAAACAATATGAACCAAAGTGCCCGCACAATTTGCCTCTCAGACGATGAAATCGTGCCGAGAGGAGGGGGTGTGAATCTTTAGAGAGTGAGGTGAATGAAGGCAAAAGAGTGGGAAGGACAAGCCTTATAATAGAGCAATTTAATAAATTGTCGAGCATGGCAATTAGGACGGTGTTAGGAATCAGCAACGAGATCTTGATATGGTAATTATAGCGGGATATGCATGGGGTATTCGTTAGCGATCGCCGCATGGTAATATACATGTACTGTGCATTCGGCTACATT